GGCGAGAGAGAGAGAGAGAGAGAGAGAGAGAGAGATCGAATAACAAGCACAACAATCACTGTTCACGGAATTTCTTCGTCTTCTCTTGCCCGAAAACAAAAATGTTGTGTGACCGTATATTTCGTTAGAGTGGAACGGAAATGGACTTTTATTCTAGTTACACGGCTGCCACTGTGTGCAAGCTGACGAAAAATGGTGACGCTGGGTCGGACGTCAATTTGAAATAGTCAATGAGCCTTTTGTCCCCACACCAGAATCTGTAGCGAGAAAATAGAAAAACGGGGTGGTATCTCCCCGCGCATTCGAAATGTTTGGTCGTGTTTTCGACATCTTTTTGATGAAGCTTATAAACTATATATCCCGGGAGCCATAAGCTCAAAACATTCACCACTCTATTAAATTGATTACAATCGAATGAAGACTCTTCACTGGCGACTTTGTTTGCCTCCCTTCATCCCCCTCGAATATTTGATGACTTGCCCGGCAATAGTTGTTGCCATTTTTTTTTCATTTCGAATGTACAATTGTACATTGGGCAATTGTACGTTCCGTTATTGTGCCGCATATTTTGGAATCCATTGCATTTTTTGGATGGCTTCTCTTTTGGCATTTTTTTTCTTCAATAATTCCGCTTACGTTTTCATATTTCTCCCCTCGCATTTTTCCGACCAAAAATCCCTATTATACATAGCATTGTGTTTCAAAGCTTTTTCATTCGTCGAAATTCACTCAAACAGATCCGGTTTTCATTGTTCTTCAGAACGAGAATTCACATCGTTTGATGTCGATGCGATGGCAGCTTTATTGATTCGCGTACATCGTTGTGATTGCAAACAGGCTTATGTATATATTTGCGGCATTGCAATGGAGCCATATGCCGACGAAAAAATCAAATGAAATGAAAACAGAACTCAAGTTTGATGATTTGATTCATATTTTCCTTTTCGTACTTTTGATTTCCCTCTCACCCGAAATTAGTAATAACAGATTCTTTTTCCCGAAATTATTCAATATTTTCCCATCTCCCGATTCGAACTCGCATTTGAATGCAAACTCTTCGAGAGTTTGGAAAGAACATAAAAAATTTCTATTACGGTGGTATACACACATAAACCAACCAACCAACCGAGCAGCCCAGGGACCGACCGACACAAGAAACAATTTCATTTGAAATCAGCAGGTGTACTGCAACATTGATTGATGACTCTGTGTGTGGTGTGTGTGTGTGTGTGTGTGTGTGCGGAGCGCGAGATTCGTGTAAGAATAGAAAATTGCACACAATTTCAATGCTGTCTATATAGAAAGTATGATAAGATCTCGAAGCGGTTCCTCCAGAATGTAATTTGAAATGAGTTTTTCTTTCACGCTTTAATTGCTAGCAACAACAAATGACTGAAAAGCGTTGCCGAAACTTTGTCGATTTCGTGTCTCAAGCGGCATGCGTCTCTAATGATGTTTTCGTTTGCCGAAAGAAAAAAATCGCATTGCAAATCGCGTTGTTTCCATGCAATTCTTTCCACGTCTCGAAATCTCTCGAAATGGCATTTCCGACGTGGAAAAAAATTTCATACACCAAGCATTTATTGCATACCCATGAAAAGATGTGTAGATATTTTGTTTCCAAAATAATGCGATTTCGTGCGCGCATTTATTTTTACCGCATACAATGAACGACAATGATAGATAAGTGCTTCCTTCATCGACAAACTGTTGGTTTGTTGTTTTTTTCCTCTTCTCTTATTGCCTTGCACAAGCCACACTTTTTTTTGCGTTGTCATTAACACATCCATACGCATTTGGCCATATCTGTATGACAATATTTTTGTTCCGGTTGTATAGTCACTTTGTTCACCTCAATTTTTTGTGTATTTTTCTAATTCAATTTAGGTTTTTTTGCGCTAGCTGTATGTCATTTATTTCGTTTTTGTCGTTGTTCGGTCGAACTTTTGGCTTGTGCATACACACATACACATAATGCTGGGTGACATGTGTAAGTTGAACTAAATGCGTTGCGCTTATTATACTGTTTTTTTTCACATTCGTTGGTTTGGTAATTTGTGTGCTGTTTGTTTGATCTTTGGAATTACGCTTTGCACGGTTCGCGGTGCACACAAATACCCGTTCTTTTGTGCGCACCATGCCAAATATATCGCGCATTCAACGAAATAACAACAAAATACATTCTAATTCTTCTATCGAATATACTTTTTTTCAGCGAAATATTGTCGTTTCGCTGGCTCTGTTGCTGTTGTTGCTTCTTGGTGGTGGTAGTTGTGGTGTGACTTAGCCGCTTGTGACTTTCGGTTGGCATTGAGTAGATGCATATGTTTACGGTTTCGTAGAAATGATCATACGACAACACGAATCAGCTAACGAAAATGAGATGCAGAAAAACAGCTATTTCCGATTATGAAGTGGTGTTTCATTTGTTTAAAACGCAATATGCGATAAAAATCTTTATAATTTTGGCAAGGAAATTTCCATGCACACCACCTTAATACATTGATATCGGCTTTTCTTATCCAATTGATATAAGACAGAGCGCGTTATCCATTGATAGTATAAAGCTGTGTGATGTCTTTTTCGATTCGGAATGAAAAATGCGGACGCTTGCAATAAAAACAACAACAACAACGAAACTCGTGCATGCGAACCTCATGTTTATCAGCTCTCAATTTGAGCTTTGTGCCACTTTCGAACTGAACTGGGGTGTGTAGAATACGTTTGGATTTTAGAACATTTTCGATAGTTTTTAAACATCCGATTTTAATGTCTTTTTGGGCAAATGGGGGAAACAGTTTCAAATGTTAAAATGGTTCGACCGAACTCATTTTAGTCGTTGTATGTGTGTGTGTGTGTGTGTGTGTGTGTGTGTGTGTGTGGTTTTCCGTTGTTGTTTACGTGTGGGGGAGTTTTCTGCCTGCGTTGCATTGCCTAAAATTCGACGGTCGAAAATACCATATCGTATCCTCATTTTGTGCAAACAGTAGTACGATGTTTCCAAAAACGGAATTCTTTCCAACAATTAGTAGGAGTTGATTGCAATATATAAGGCTTTTTTTCCATTCTACCATGGAAGAGTAAATGCATAAGCCGTACTTGCAGTACGAAATGGTACATAAAAACGATGAAACGATATAAAATCAAACCAACTCATACCACTTTGCACCGGAGCAACCTACCATTGAAATGCGTTGAGAGAGAAGGCAAAAAACGCACATCCGAAAAAAAAGTTGGAGTTCCAATGAACAACCAACAAATCGCATTGAAAATATAAGAGAAAAAAACACACACATTTTCTGGTTGAAACTTTTTCGGCAGCAAGAGAGACAGAGAGAAAGAGGTAGTATATACGCAAGTAGTAGAAGTGGTTGGTGCCGTATATCTATCGTTTTTGGAAGTTCTATGTTGGTGTCGCTATCGTATTACGTAAACCATGGCAACGTGTTAGATTTTCCTGCTTCACTGCACGAAATGAATAGAATGGTAAAATGAAATACGCACGCAAGGCAGGCAGGCAGGATAGTAGGCAAAAAAAACGGCAACGCAAGAAGCAAGCAAACATCAACGAGGCCTATGTGTTTTTGATAATGAATTTTCAAGCTTTACATAAGTCGAGCGATGCGTATGCGATAGAGAGAGAAGGCCTACGTCCTATGTACAAAATGTTATGCATCTAATCTCTCATGGAGTCGATGTTGTTTTGTGTATATGCGAGAGAAAAGTGTATGTATTTTTCCTGACTATGACGGTTTTTCCATCCAAGGATGAGACAAACGCAGAGACAAAAATAGGTGCAACTTGACAAATGTGTCCATTAGATTCAATTGTTTTAACGTGACGTAAAAAAAAAGTCCGATTTGAACTGCAATTTCGGCTAATTGCGATGAGGCAATTTCAAACGAAATATACATTCTTTTTCTGAGCATTACATTCATACATCGCTTGATGTGGCAAAAAAAAGAAACGAGCGATATGCACGAAGACACAAAGAAAAGAATTGAAACGAGCTAGAGCGAACAAACCGAACGAAAGACCGAACAAAAAAAAAACAACACACAACACAACAAACAGAGCCGAAATTATACAATTTCGGACTAGTGCACACACAACGATATGCATAAACGTGAATAACGCGCGCGTCAAATATATAATAGATGCGGATCTTCTAAAACGTCAGTATCGAAATACCACCAAAAATTCTCAAGTCATTTGCAAATCGCATACACTCGGCTCGCTCACAGCATGAACCGAACGAGAGGCAGAAAAAAAAACACAGCAACAACAACGGCAGCAGCGACAGCGACAACAGCAGCACCATGCACGCATACACTCGCTACGCTCATAATAATTTTTGGGCATAATACATGCATCGGCTGCTATATACACAAATACGGCACGACCCATTCAAAACCGAAGGGGAAGACGAGGAAACATGTTGAGCATGTGTTGGACGCCAGTCTATGGCATTTGTATGAATGTATTGTGAGATTTTTTGGAAGTATATTCGTAATTTGTACGATTCTTGCTGACATTTGCTACGCATATACTACACGTACATACGGGCTAGCTGTGTACTATGTGAGCCGCCGGACGACTGTTTTTAATGAATGCCGTTTTTGTGTATTGCAAACATCAGCGTAGAAACGCGTGTTTTTGTCTGTAAATTTATATCGATCCTCTCATTCTTCCATTCCACAACACATATAGTCAATTATTGCACACCAAATCTATTACAATACAAACGCATTCGCATCTCTGGCGTTGCTGCTGCTTTTGCTGCTTCGCTGAAATCGAAACACACTGTCGGCGGGGAAACGAGGCCGACGATGTGAAAAAAAAAACATTTACCAAAATATCATACACATTGAATACGAACGACGAAAAATTTTCGGCAATTCAATAGCACAGCACTGCTGCTACTTAGTATCTCGGCTACAATCCAAATACAAACACATGCACAACACATACAGAGCGAGTAGAAGCAGCAGCAGCACAGCAGCAGTCGCATTGGTCGCGAACATCGTTACGGACTAACGCATACGAACTAGCTGCACATTAGTTGCTTACATTCATTCGTTTATACCCAAAAAATGTATAACCGGGCCAAAACGCAACTCTAAACTTTTATGTTTGTCTATTCGGCCCTAGGTTTTGGAGGTGCTTGGAGCTTGCACTAAAATTCGCGGTGCATTGCTATTAAAAAAAAGCAAGAAATTCATTTTAAAAAAATACGACAAAAATTTTATTCAACACAAAATTGCATTTCAAACTAACAACCAACCAGAAAATACTATAAAAAAAAATATTTTTCGAAATAAAAAAAAAGTTTTTCAAAATAAAATCATCAAAACATAACATGCAAACGAGCTCAGCGGAATAAAAAAAATTAAAACATAAAAATTCATCAACATCGAATGCATTCAATTGCATTATCGAATTTTTTTTGGCAAGAAATTTGTGCATTTCGGAAAATCAACGCAACAACAATAACAACAACAAAAAATGGGATTCAACGAACAAATTAATTTGAATAAAGACACAATTGTCCATTGAGTGAAAGTGATTTGGCTACTTTTCCGAAAAGAAAGAAAACAAAAAAACCGATATTTTATTTCAAAAACAGTGTGTCAGTCAAGGAATCGGAAATCAAGTTCGAAGTTTCGTAATATATTTGTTTTTTTTTCTGCGCTCAATTCGATTGGAATATTTGAAGTACGCGCGCGGAAATATACACATTGTGTGAACATTGAGGAGGAATCAACGTGGATATTGTGCGTGCCACTACTGCACAACGAACACGAAGCCGAGTTGTGAATTTATCCGATTTTATTGGCGACAATCAGTGTGACGCCAATATTATTTATTGGAAAATAATTGATGATCAGCCGATGAAAATGATTTAGAAAGGCGGCAAAACAGAATTATTTCGAAAACAAACTCTAACCCATTTTTTGACGATAAGAAAAGAAGGAAGCGTGTTTACTTTCGAATTTTTTTTTTTTGAAGTTATTTTGTTTCAATAATTTTTTGTTTTAAACTGAAAGAAAATTTGGTTGTGTTTGCACCAAAAGAGAGCAAAAGAAAAAAATACAAATGGTTTAAGTTGGTGTGAAATCGAACTGGAAATAAAACGATCGGAAAACTTTGGAAGCAAAATTGAATGTTTTGAAATACACAGAAAAAAAGTGCATCAAAATACACAGTTTGGACATTAAAAAAACGTTTTTTTTCGGATTTCAAACGAATATACACACACACAAAAAAGAGGATACAATTTTCCGACCTGATCGTTCATTTGGAAATTAAATCATTGTTTTCGGCTTTCGCATTTATTTTCTCGCACGGAAGCGCATTTATTCCATCAACTCAACGCAAATCGTCCATCAACTTTTCATTTTAAGGAAATTACTACGCAATTTGAAAGGTGAGTGTCATTTAGCAATTTTTTTTTAATTCGTTCCTCAAAATGAAAATACTAAATCGAGCAAAACGAATTTCGGGAAAAAATATGACATCGAAAATTAGTTGAGTCACGTATGAAACGAGCCAGAACAGTGCATTTTATGATTAGAGGAAAAAATGATTCATTTCAATCCGAGCTGAGAATATTCATCATAAAAACAGCAGCAGGCTGCTTATGCTGTTGAGAGCTATGTGGTCATTTATCATGAGTGGAACCGAAACACCAACAATAACAGCCGAAAAAAAAATCGTTCTCATTTCGTGTGATGGCAGTTGACACAGTGCCGAAACAAAAATCGTAGTGCTCTTATAATTTGTAGCCTCGTCAAGTATATTTTGATAACACGATGTCGACGGAAGAAACAACCGAAAAAAGTGAGCGTTTCTAGTCAGGCGGAGTTACAGCACACATTCAAATGTGGCGGCAAAACGTGCGGAAATCAAAAATAAAACCATTTTTTCTTCTATTCCCTGCTTGTGTATCTTGAGTGAGAGCAAAGAAGAAAAAAATACTCAACGCCATCGTTGCAATTCTATTTGCTAGTTTCGCATTTCGGTTCGTGTGTCAAATATCAACGAATGAAGTGTCGTCGTCGTCGTCGTCATCGTTGTCGCTGATTTTGCCAACATGTATGCGCTGTCGTTCGTACCACACATCGACATGTTTCGAGAAGCGCGTGTAGCACACTAATTTCAATTGGTGCTAATTCGTTCCTATTTCAATTTTCGTATCGTTTCTGCCGAAAATTTTCTGGTTTTTTAAATCGCTTTTTGTTGTTGCCATGTTTCCTATCATTTGCGAGCACAATGCAAATGTTCAGAACTGGATTCTTGAATATCATGCATTGATTATGCTTTATTAATATTCAAGATGAACTGCCGTCGAGAAAAATATAAACATCATTAAATTGAATTGTGGAGCAAGAGATTGATTTCCTTGCAAAAACAGCCGAAAAAACTGTCGAAATAAAAGAAACAACAAAGCCCAAAATGAAAAAAAAAAACAATTAGGAGGAAAACGAGGAAAATGGCATAATATTACACAATAGTTTTCAAGGTGTGTAGCGCGCATATGCATTATACTACGAAAAACGCATGAATAAAACGCACGTACACAACCAAACAAATCGATACACAAAGATGTATTACAAAAGTACAGCCCAAAAATATGCGTATACCTCTCTCTTTCTCTCTCTTTATCCATGCTACGGCTACTCTTTTTATGGAGCTCACTCGAACTCGCCTCACTCGCATATTCACGCAATCCATTCGCTGCACGCATCGAACGAAATTTTATGCGTGCTGAGCGAGTGTTTGTGTCATTTTTCGGCTGCGTTGTTGTTGTTGCTGCTGCTGCTGCTTTTTCATCGTTTCTGGGTTACTTCATGTAAACGATTGCATATACGTACATTTCTGCGTTTTGTTTTTTTGTTTAGACAAAGACATTTGCATACCATTGGAAATGGGCTACTTTCGTTTGATTTAAAAATAGGAGGCAAACGCACAGCAAGAATGGAAACAAAATTAATCGTTTCATCCGACGAAACGGGGTTTCTGAAGAATATTTGGCCCCAACCGATTTTTTTTCCTCGGCTCATGCATATTTTATTTGATAAATGACAACATTATCTGTCGTTATGTATAAGCGGCAAATTTCTTAAATGATGGCAATCATTTTATAGGATCCTCGAATAAGACATTCATTCACTCTCATTCTCGCACTCCCTCTCGAAAATTATCGTTAGATATTAAATTTTAATTAACAACGACTTCAATCTATATAATTACAGTTTGTAATGGCACTGAATTAGGTATTTATAAAATAACGTCATGAATCGAATGGAAATCACCGCTTCATTTTTTACCACCGCTTCACAGAACGAATGAATAATCATCAAAAAAATATGTGTATGTGTGTGCACTGAGTGTATGTAGATACACATTCATCATAACAATCCTTTCTTTATCTTCAATTATTGAATAACAGATTTCGGTTGGTGTAGTGTGTTTTTTGTCGTCGATTTTTAAATAATTTATCATGTTCCCTATTGCCGAATGAGTTCGCCCTCTCACATCTACACATTTTGATCGGGTTCATCTATGCGCTCGTCAAAATGAACGCAATAGATAGATTGAGAGAGAAAGAGAGAGTAAATTAAAAATTTTACCCTTCTTTCCAGGATGTGCATAGAGGCCGTTTGTTGTGTCATTGTTTTCGGTTGTTCTCATCGCTGTTGTCGTTGTTGTTGCTTTTTAATTCAATCTCACAAATGAAGAACAAGCAGAAGAGGAAGAAGAAGAAGAAGCTCAAGCGGAGAAGGCACAACCGAAGCCGAAAAAGTCTTAAATGCCATTGAATTTTTAATGTGCGAAATAATCGAATATGCGTGGTTGTTTATCATGATGGATTGTTCGTGTGTTGTGCGTTTGTGCTCCGTTCAAATATATTACACGGCTGTCGTGTTCGCTCAAAAATTTTTGTGTGCGTATAGATTTTCACATAGCGAGAAATTGAAAATCGACCGAATACGCTCGTGCCGAGGAATATAGCAGTCACACGAAGTGCTGCTGCTGCTGCTCTCACTCTCCGTTACACCGTTCGTCATTCGCTTTTTCGGCAGTGCACACACACAACACACGCACTAGGCCCTCTGCGGTGCATGTGTATGCGTGTAATATGCTCGCATTTTCAATTGCCACAGTGCCAAGAGTGCGAATGCGATAGAGCGAGGAAAAATCAATATATGAAATGATATTACTTCACTTTTTCGAAATGAAATTTATTATCATCGTTCCACAATGCGTCGCTGCTACTTTCTCAATCGAGAAATGTGTGTATATCCAGTTGGAGTTGGAGACCACGTCTCTCTCTCTCTCTCGTTCACTGCCTACTCGCTCGCACACTTGCTCGTTCGGTACACTGCATGCGTGTGTGCGTTTTTTGGGAAAAAGGCATTCTACGTCGTTGCTGCTGCTGCTGCTGCTGCTGCTGCTTTTTTCATCATCTTTCTGTATTCAGACCATAGTTGCGTAGTAATGAATGCGTTTGATGAATTAGTAGGATTTTCCATCTAACTGTAAATGTCTTTTGTGTGCCTGCTGCCACTGCCACTGCTGCTTAGATGCCACGCATACAGATGCAAAATCGGTGTGTACCGCTCGCGTTCGGCTTTTTGCGAATGTAATAGAAAGAGACATAGAGAATATATTGGGGGATCCATTGAGAATCGCATTTGTGCACAAACAGCACACCGATTGCGTTTATTTTATTCGCTCGTTGCTGCGCTGCGCTCAAAATCCAATGGAAAAATCGAGTGGTTGCAAAATGTAGAGGAGCGCTAGCGGGCCAACGATTGCGAACGCGCAAGCAAGACAAAACATAGAATTAAAAACGGCAATAACACACACACACACACACACACACACACACACACACACACACAGCAGATGTGAGACAGAGCAACTGACAAATCGAATTGAGTGAGTGAGCGAGTGTAGAGTGTAGGCGCGCATTCACAAGCATTACATATATATACATATATGCCGTGGAAGCAGAGCTAGAATGCGACTGTACATCTATTAGTTTGTGAAAAAAAAACAAATTCCGCATACTCGAATTCAAATTATTTGACAAACGCCAAATCGACACACGAGTGACATCAGATGCCATAAAAAAAAAATATATGTGTGTATACACACCGCCGAAAATGTAAGGCACAGCTCTTGTTGTTTACGGGCAGGAAACGCGAATAGAAGAGAAGAGAAAGGTTGTGGAAATAGCTGCGTGTTGCATAAATATTAATAATATTGATTTGAAACTTAGCACACGAACGGCGAATATTCTTCAACCAGCCCGAAATTGTAATTGGGCACACCATGGCATGGCCAATGCTTGTGACAATATAGAACAAAAGTAACACAGAAAGAAAACTCACACACACCATGAATATATGGAACGCACAGCCGAAATATTGCAACAATTCACGCATACATTTTCTCCGCATTAGAAACATACAACAGCAACTTTTTTTCTTCCTTCTATCATTCTTTTCTATTTCGACTAGTGTACATTTTCGACACACAAATTTCTCTTTCATCGTCGTGCCTTTAAGTCATTTACACGTTTTCTATTCGCTGAGCTGCTCTTGTTTTTTTTTTCATTTATTTTTTATGCGGAAAAATCGCCCAATAATTGCATGTTTGTGTGCGAAGAGAGCAATAAAATATGTTCAATTTGTGAATAAAGCACATAAATCTGAGTGTGAAATATGTGCGCCAGTATGTTCGACGGACCGAAAAAAATTGTATGCTTTCGGCTGCATCATAGAACGCACACATGCACAATGCGCCCATCATCAAATACACACAGTTCAAGCAGCCTCGATAAAGACGTATAAATAAATGAGTGATTTCGACAAGCTTGTAAACGACATTGTACGCAATCCACCACAACTCGAATCAAACAAAGTGACGAGAGAAAAACACACGCACACACACACATGAACATTATGTCAAAATTAATGAGAGAGCATGCAAGATAGTGAGAAACAAACTTATGTATACATACAGAATTAGGCCAGTTGGCGGAGTTTTGTAATCGATTCATTTACTCAGATAGATGAGCATTTTTGACAAGCCACTTCTCGGCCGTGCATATCATTCGTTATCCCATTTCGTGATTACGAATTCGTGTGGCTTTTTTTCTCTCTCTCCGAAGACACTTCTAATGCACACGCGCTAAAAGATATGATCGCATTTTGCCAAATTTCCTGACGCCCTGCATTTCGTCTATTATCTAAACACATGAGCGCACATTTTTTCAATTTTTTTCTGTTGTTGTCATTGCTGTTGTTATTTCGTACAAATGCGAAAAAATGCGATATCTGCTCTGGCCTTAATTATATTTGCTCTAAAAAATATTATTCCCATTCAAGTAGCGGCAAAAATATTGACATTGAATTT